CCGCTTCATTTACATCATTAACAATACTGAAACCCAGGGGCTTTATTATGTTTTCCATTAGCATGGAATCGTAGACATTCATCTGACAACCATAAGTTTTTATGTACAAACCTTTCATATGTTTAATTTCTCTTATAAAACTTAAATCTGATCTATATAATTAATTAATAAAGCATGACTTGAAGTTTTTTGCAATATCATCGATTATAGTTAAATACGCATCCTTTCCAGGTTCCACATCTAATCCAGTAGGATCAAGCACCATTACTTTCGCATTATTAGGAAAAGCTTTTGGAGTTTCCCATGAATGAGAGAGTACACAGCTAATATTTTCTTGTTTCATTATTTCTCTCAGCTTCGTTAAACTTTTTATACCTATATATGAATCTTCTTCTATAGCAAGGATGACGCTTGGAGGATTTAAGCCAAAATGCTTTTCAAAATATTGATAAGCATCGTGAAGCACTATGTATTTTTGACCTTTAACACTATTTAATTTGTTACTGATTTCTTTTGCTTTTTGCTCTATCTTTTTTATAGCTATTTCTGCATTGTTTTTATATTTGTTGGAATTATTGCTGTCTATTTCCGAGAGCTTTGTGCTGATGAAGCGTATCATAAGTTTTGCATTTTCTGGGTTAAGCCAAATGTGTAAGTCATCTTCGTTGTGAGTATTGATTATTTTCCTTGCAAATGAGTTTTGCCTAGCGGGAAGTAAAGTTACTGCATCTGATAATTGTATTAACTGTCTATTATTTTTTTTGAAATTTTTTACAAATGTTTCTAGTTCATCATTAATATAGAATATAATATTGCTTGACTCGAGTTTGCTTATATCCGATGGCTTTAACGTATAGTCATGTGCAGAAGTAGTGTTATAGTTTAGTAATGCTGAATCCACAATTCCATCTGTAACAGATGAAACAAGTGAGTGTACAGGTTTTATTGTAGCAACAATTTTTAAATTGGATGAGAAAGCAGTATTGTAGTATAGTATAGAAAAAAACAACAGAAGAAAAGATATTACATGTTTCATGAGAATCCTGATATTTTAACGATAGAGAACCTTACTCTTAAATATAATAACAAACAAGTCCTTGGTAATATAAATATATCAGTAAAAAAAGGAAATATCATCACAATACTTGGTCCTAATGGAGGAGGAAAAACTTCTTTAGTGAAAGCAGTTGTCGGTATTAATCAAAACTACACTGGAAATATTATATTTGCTGATGGTATAAAAATTAGTTACATGCCACAAAATTTTAATATTAACAACTTAATGCCAATAACGGTTAAATATTTTCTCTTGAATAGTTTTCTAGGGAGGATAAACAGAAATCAGTCTGCTGTGGAAGAGGTGATAGATTTGGTTGGTATTGGTAACATCCTTAAACATCAAGTGTTAGAAATTTCAGCCGGTCAAACACAACTGCTGTTGCTAGCTCGCTGTTTGATTGCAGAACCAGATTTAATGATTTTAGATGAGCCAGTAAGTTCAATGGATGTGAATGCTCGGGTTAAATTTTATGATATTATTAGTAAGATAGCAAAAAAGCATATGGTGTCGATTCTTATGACTTCGCACGATCTCAGATCTGTTCTGCCATTTTCTGATTATGTGGTGTGTATAAATAACTCTATCTACTGTCAAGGTACACCGGATGAGATTATAAAGGATAAGGCTTTTAATGAAACATTTGTTAGTTACATGAAAAAATGATTAGAAGTATTCTGCGCCTTTCACGTGTGATTTCAGTATTAACTTATTATAGTGTGTTGCATCATTTACTTTTACCATCAAGAAAATCAGTCAATAAAATACGAGGCCAGAAGCTAAGATGTGCTCTTGAAAGATTGGGTCCAGTATTCATAAAATTTGGACAATCTATGTCATCACGTACTGATATCTTGAATGATGATATAACAAATAACTTACTGTTAATATGCGATAGGCTACCGTCGTTTTCACATAAAGTTGCTATTAAAACCATAGAAAATGAATTTAATTGCAAGCTAAACGAGATTTTTTCAAATTTTAATGAAATTCCGGTTGCAGCGGCGTCAGTTTCTCAGGTTCATAAAGCAGTGACAACAGAGGGTAAAGTGGTTGCAGTGAAGATATTGAGACCAAATATTGAGAAAATCTTTTCAAGAGATATAAAAATGCTTATGTGGCTTGCGAAAATTGCAGAGAAGTTCAGTAAGCAATCAAAAAGGTTAAAACCCATTGATCTAGTTGAAACTTTTGCTGAAATTTGTCGATTAGAGCTAGATTTACGCTTTGAAGCAGCACATTCTTCAGAATTAAGGGAAAATACTAAAAGTGACAGGGGTTTTTATGTACCTGAAATAGATTGGAGTAGAACTTCAAAAAGAGTTCTCACGATGGAGTGGATAGATGCTACGCCGATATATGAAGTAAAAGAGCATCGAAAACAAGTAGCAGTCAATCTTATCGAATCCTTTTGCAATCAAGTATATCGAGATTGTTTTTTTCATGCCGATATGCACCCGGGGAATCTAATGATCGATAGCAGCAATAACATCATTGCTTTAGACTGTGGGATTATGGGAAGGATAGATCGAGAAACGTATTATTATGTGATAGAGATATTGAAAGGTTTTCTGGAACGCGACTATAATCACGTTGCTGAAATGCACTTTAAAGCTGGCTACGTTCTGCCACAGTATAAAAATTTTGTTACGGCCTGTAGGGCGATTGGTGAACCAATTGTTGGACAACCGATACAAAAAATTTCATTTGCTAATCTGCTTGCCCAGTTATTCAAAGTAACTAGCGATTTTGATATGAAGGTTCAAACACAATTGCTATTGCTACAAAAAACTATGATCTTGCTGGAGGGAGCATGCCGCAAAATTTATCCAGGAATTAATATGTGGGAAGTGGTTAAGGTATGGATGAAGAGCCAACAGAAGAATAAAATAGGATACAAGGAAAAAATAAAGAGCTCTTACCCAGTTAAAACTCTTCAGGAATTATCTAGCCTTGTCGGTAAACTAAATCTGATAGCTGATCAAAAGCTTGCGGGTAATAATAAGCTTCAAGACAGAGTTTCTTTTCTATTATTAATTATTATCACAATATTAATTGTTAAGTTTTTTTATTTATAATTTTTCATAAAAAGTTTATCTTGTTCATTTTTACTTTCGGTAGGTTTTGTGTTATATATTTAGTATTAGTTAGGTTATGGTGTTGGTATGCCTAGTACTCAAACTCAGGTTCTGAAAGAAAAGCTTGAAAGTTTAATCTTGGCAATTCAAGGTGGTGATTTTGACTCTGTAAAAAAAGCTCTTGAGGGTAGTAAAGAGAACGGATGTAAACAGTCTTCCGTAATTAACTTGAAAAATAAAGATGGGATGACTCCTCTTCATGTTGCTTTAGAGCAATACAATATTGATTTGAAAATTATAAATTTGCTTTTAGATAGTGGAATTGATATCAAATACTGTTACAGTAATCCACTTGATAAAATAAGAAAAGAGTTACAAGGAGACAACTATTTACACATAGCTGCTAGAGCAGGGAATGTAGATGCTTTTTTATTAATATATAAGAAAAGTGTGGAAGATGGTTTTAGTCTACTAGGGTACAATGATAATCATGAAAATCCATTTCATATCGCAGCAAGTAGAGTGATACTTCCAGACGTAATAAGGAAGATTTTTGAATATTTAAAATCAAGAGAAGATGAAGAAGGAAAAAAGATAAAAAAAGCAAAGGAGGCTAAAAATGAAGAAGGTTTAAAAAACTCTGAAATAAAAAAGGAAGAATTCAACAGTGAAAGAAAATTTGTAAAAAATGCACTGTATGCTAAAAAAGAATATGCACTGAATAATCAAAAAAGGACCCCCCTTAGCTTAGTTAGTGAACAAGGTAAGAGAAAAATCAAAGAAACTGTAGGAATAAAGGATAGTCTGGTACGCAGCAAGAGGCTTCATTTATGCTTGTATATAGTAGGAGCTTTAGCTTGTATTGCTGCTTTTTGCCTTTCTCTACACTTACTATATATAACTGCCCAAGCTTTTGCGCTTAGCACAATTGCTTCAGCAGCCGTTGGTGGAGTTGCATTCTTTGGTGCAAAAGCGTGTAGTGAAGTACATGATTTTTGTGGAAATGGAACAGACATAGAGGGTGTTGTAGTTACTAGCACTAGTATTGATAGTGGACTTGGGACGGCGTAAGTTAGAAACGGCTTGCAGATTGTGACGTATCAATGTACTTTTTAAGAACTATCGTTAAAAATTGTGCCTAGATGTTGAAAAAAAAGTACGATAAAATTTTAATAGCCAACAGAGGAGAAATTGCTTGTAGGATAATAAGAACTGCTCACAAGATGGGTATATCTTGTGTTTGTGTGTATTCAGATGCAGATATCAACTCTGTACATGTTATGCAAGCTGATGAATCGAGATATATAGGTCCTTCACCTTCTTGTTTAAGTTATTTAAACATTGAAAAAATATGCGAAGTGGCAGTGGAGACCAATGTGCAGGCAGTTCATCCTGGCTATGGATTTTTGGCAGAAAATCCTGATTTTCCACGTGCTCTGCAGAAATATAACATAGATTTTATCGGCCCGAGTNTACAGCTAAAGAAGCTGCAAAAAAAGCTGGAGTGAATGTGGTACCAGGCTATACAGGTAAAATAAAAGATCCAGCTCATGCAGTGCAAGTTGCTGAAGAAATTGGTTTTCCTGTTATGTTTAAGGCGGCAGCGGGTGGCGGTGGCAAAGGAATGAGGGTGGTGAATTCAAAAGAAGAGGCTGAGCTGGCGTTTATATCTGCAACAAATGAAGCAGAAAAAAGCTTTAAAGATGGCAGTATATTTGTTGAAAAGTACATAGAACTACCGAGGCATATTGAAATACAAATAATAGCGGACAAATATGAAAATATAGTATGCCTTGGTGAGAGAGAGTGTTCAATACAGAGAAATAACCAAAAGATTATAGAGGAGACTCCTAGTCCATTTATTAGTGAACAAGTAAGGCAAGAGATGTATGCTCAATGCGTTTTATTGGCAAAGCAGGTTGGTTATTTCACAGCAGGTACAGTTGAATTTGTTATGGATAAAGATCACAAATTTTATTTTCTTGAGGTAAATACTAGACTGCAAGTTGAACATCCGGTCACGGAGCTTGTTACTGGAATAGATATAGTAGAAGAAATGGTCAGAATTTCCTGTGGAGAAAAACTAAGATTTAGTCAAGATGATATTAAACTCACTGGTTCAGCAATGGAAAGTAGAATCTGTGCTGAAGACCCATCAAAGAAATTTTTTCCTTCTGGTGGGAGAATAAGATATTATGATAAACCCGGTGATGTGAGAATAGACGATGGGGTAACTGCAGGATCTGAGATCAGCATGTTTTATGACTCAATGGTTGCAAAGGTAATTACGCATGGGCAGGATAGAATAGAGGCAATAAAAAAGATGCAGAAAGCATTATCTGAATGCTATATAGGTGGAATAACTAATAACATAGAATTTCTTGAGTCGATCTTTCATCATCCAGATTTTATTGCAGGTAAGCTCCATACTAAATTTATTCCAGATTTTTACCCTAATGGTTTCCATGGTGATCCTGTTACGGAAGAGTATATGAAAATATCTATATTAGTTGCGCTTTATGTTCATTTAGAGAACGAACAAAAGTACAGCGATAAGATACAAGATGGAGCATTCGTAGTGGTGATTAATAGCAACGAATATCCAATAAACGCAAAATACCAGAATAACACGTTGACAGCGGTTTATAACCACAATGAATATTCCGTGAAAGGCAAATGGAAATCGCATAGTTATAAATTGTTAAATGTGATAATCAGCGATGATGTTGATATTACAGTAAAAATAGATAAGAAGGGTGATAAATATTTAATAAAGCATGCAGGAATGAAAGCTGAGTGTTGTGTATTGGATCCGTATGTTGCTGAATTAAATAAGTTTGTGCTTAACAATGAATCAAATGAAACAAGGGAAAATGTTGTACAATCACCGATATGTGGCTTATTGACCAAATTATATGTAAATATAGGTGATCAAGTAGAGATAGGACAGCCCTTGTTTGTGATAGAAGCAATGAAGATGGAAAATATTATATGCTCTGAAATAAAAGCAGTGGTTAAAAACGTTCTTATACAGGAAGGTAAGAGCGTACAAGTAGGTGATATAATATTGGATTGTTTGTAAGAACTGTATGTGGAGATTATCTCTCTATGTGGTGGCTATACAAAAACAAAGAAGAAAACACTATATTTAAGTTATAAATGTGATATTACTACTACAGGCATTAAATGTTACTTAATATATTGTAGTGTAGGATTATATCAAGAGTGCATGACTCTCTATATGAGGGGTGCTATGTAAAGAAAATAGTATCTGTTACTGCTTTTTGGTATGAGGCTATTCTAGTGTTGCGGCAGTGAAGTTTAATAATGTCTGTTACTGCTTTTTGGTGTGAGGCTAGAGGGTTATGAGCAGTAACAGACACTATTAAACTTATTATAAAATTTATTTAATGTAAATACTTTATATTATATTTTTTTAACTCAAAGTGTTATGGTTTTTCCATTAGAACAACTGTTTCCCCCTAAATTACTACATATATTATTATATCTTCCGAATGCTAAAAAATTATTAATTGCTATTAATCTGTGTTTGCGTAGTAAGTGTATATGTATTATATATAGTATGTTGTTCAGTTTTAAAGATGAAGTTGTTGATACTAATATTGTTAATAATATTCTACTCTAGTTTGTCGATTGCTTCTTCTCCAAGTGCGTGGCAACTTGGGTTTCAGTTACCAGCAACTGAGTTAATGGAAAATGCTGTCAAGTCACACTCTTTCATTATGCTCTTGATGTCTGCTGTTGTTTTATTTGTGTGGCTGCTGCTTTTTTATGTCGTATTTCGTTTTCATAAAAGTAAGGTATCAAGTGTAAGCAAAGTTACTCATAATATTATTTTAGAAATAATTTGGACTGTGGTTCCAGTGATAATTGTTGCAATACTTACGGTGGAAAATATAAAATTAATAAAAGAACAAGAAAAAATTCCCAAAACTGAATTAACTTTAAAAGTTATTGGTAATCAATGGTACTGGGGTTATCAATATCCGGAACATCAAGGTTTATCGTTTGATAGCTACATAAAAGGAGATGCTGACCTCAGTGCTCAAGATTTAAGGCTGCTATCTGTTGACAATCATGTTGTTTTACCTGTTAATACTAACATTCGTTTACAAGTGACAGCAGCAGATGTAATACATAGCTGGGGTATTCCTGCTTTTGGTATAAAAATTGATGCAATACCAGGTAGATTAAATGAAGCATGGTTTAATATAAAGAAACCAGGGGTGTACTATGGGCAGTGTTATGAATTATGTGGTCAAGGTCACGGATTTATGCCTATTGTTGTTGAAGCAGTAAGTCGAGAAGATTTTGACAAGTGGATCGAAGATAAAAAATTGTTAAGTTAATGTGGAGACAAATATGAGTGATATGCCAAAGGGTATAAAGCGTTGGCTATTTTCTACTAACCATAAAGATATAGGAACGTTATATATCATTTTTTCAATATTAACAGGAATAATAGGTGGTTTGTTGTCAGTGATTATCCGAACTCAGTTGATGCACGTTAACATACTCAACGGTAATCACCAGTTGTATAATGTAATGGTTACAGGTCATGCATTGATAATGGTGTTTTTTATGATAATGCCAGCCTTAATGGGAGGATTTGGTAACTGGTTTGTACCTTTAATGATAGGCGCTCCTGATATGGCTTTTCCTCGTATGAATAATTTAAGTTTTTGGTTGTTGGTGTCGTCTTTTATTCTACTCATCACTTCGGTGTTTGTAGGTGAAGGGCCAGGTACGGGATGGACTTTGTATCCACCTCTATCACAAGTAGTTTCTCATCCCAGTGCTGGAGTAGATCTTGCTATATTTGCCCTGCATGTTGCTGGTATGTCATCAATTGTCGGAGCAATTAACTTCATAGTAACTATATTTAATATGCGAGCACCTGGAATGTCTTTAACTAAAATGCCGTTGTTTGTGTGGTCTGTTCTATTGACTGCATTTATGCTGATTGTTGCTTTACCGGTTCTTGCTGGTGCTATAACTATGCTACTCACTGATCGCAACATTGGCACTTCGTTTTTTGATCCTGCTGGTGGTGGGGATCCTGTATTGTTCCAGCATTTGTTTTGGTTCTTCGGTCATCCGGAAGTGTACATCATTATTTTCCCTGCATTTGGAATTATAAGTCAAGTTGTGTCAACTTTTTCACACCGGCCGGTGTTTGGTTATATGGGCATGATTTATGCTATGATAGGAATAGCTGCATTTGGATTTATGGTATGGGCTCACCATATGTTCACTGTTGGGCTTAATACAGAAGCTGTTGTATTTTTTAGTGCCTCAACAATGTTTATTGGTGTGATCACTGGAATTAAAGTATTTAGCTGGATTGCAACAATGTGGGGTGGTGCAATTGAACTAAAAACCCCTATGTTATTTGCTTTAGGTTTTATTTTCGTGTTTGTTGGTGGAGGAGTGACAGGTATAGTGCTTTCTCATGGTGGAATAGATAAACTTCTGCATGATACTTACTATGTTGTAGCTCATTTCCATTATGTGATGTCACTGGCTGCTCTATTTGCTGCATTTGCTGGGTTCTATTATTGGATAGGCAAAATATCAGGTAAACAATACAATGAATGCTTGGGTCAGATACACTTTTGGCTGACTTTTATAGGAACTAACGTTACTTTTTTACCTCAACATTTTTTAGGATTATCGGGGATGCCAAGACGCATACCTGACTACCCGGACGCGTTTATTCCATGGAATTACGTTTCCTCTATAGGGTCATACATATCATTTTTTTCAGTGATGTTTTTTGTTTTTGTGGTTGTGCACCTTTTCATAAGAGGCAAAAAAGCTGGAGATAATCCGTGGGGAGGTGATACTCTAGAGTGGACTGTATCTTCGCCGCCACCTTTTCATACTTTTGAAAAACCACCAGTTATAAAATAGTTATGCATACAAGTGCTCTGTTTAAAGATGTGTCAACAATACTAGATTTTTGGCATTTACTGAAGCCAAGAATAATGTATCTAGTAGTGTTTACTGCAGTTGCTGGTATGGTAATTGCACCTGGGGATATGCATCCTTTTCTGGCGCTGATATCTCTTATTTGTGTTGCTCTTGGCTCTGGTGCCGCGGGTGCAATAAATATGTGGTATGATAGAGATATAGATGTACTGATGCAAAGGACAAAAAATCGCCCTATTCCTGCAGGCAGGGTGGAAGCAAACAGTGCACTGGAGTTTGGTGTTACTATTGGAATATTATCCATTTTTATCATGGCGATAGCGGTGAATTATCTCTCTGCTATTTTGCTTGCGATTAGCATATTGTTTTACGTTTTTGTATACACAATTTGGTTAAAAAGACGCACTCCGCAAAATATCGTTATTGGCGGAGCAGCGGGTGCTTTTCCTCCTATGATTGGCTATGCGGCTGTTACCAATTCTTTTAGCTGGGAGAGCTTTGTGCTGTTTTTAATAATCTTTATGTGGACCCCTCCGCACTTTTGGGCGCTGTCTTTAAATAGGTCAGAAGATTACATTAGGGCATCCATACCAATGTTTAATATTGTTTATGGTGCAGAAAAAACAAGAGAATATATATTAATTTATAGCATACTGCTCGTATTAATCAGCTTGCTACCGGCATTATTTTTAGCTAAGTCCCTGCTTTATTTAATCCTAGCAACCTCTTCAGGTGGTGTGTTTATTTGGTATGCGATATCTGTGCTAAGATTTAAGAATTATCGCTCACAAAAAAAGATGTTCTCTTATTCAATTTCCTACTTATTTTTGCTATTTGCTAGTATTATTTTTTGCTTATGAATAAACAACAAAAATGTAAAAATTATTTTTTATTTTTTATTTTAGTAGCGTTGGTAATTACGCTTTTTTTTGTCTCTATAATTAAGTTTAAAGGTTAATACTGGAATCTAAATATAGACTCCAGTGTTAACGGAAACAAACTATATTAGGTTTGTTATGCTGTCTGGCATTACATCATCCGGATTGAGAGTATTTATATCAACGCTTGGTTGCTTGTTATTTGAGTCCCCAGTGCTGGTATTGTTTGCACCTAAATCTGATTTTGTAATAACTGCTTTATTTCCTGTAAGCATTTTTAGCATTTTTTCTACACCCTCTGCATTAGCGTTGCTACCATCTGCTTTAGCAAAAGTAGAATCTGCGTTTATTTTAGTGTAGACGTCTTCTGTTTTAGCATAGTCATTCAATGAGGTTTTATCAGCTTTGTTATTCAGATCAACTGCTTTAGCAAAGGTAGTGTTTGCATCTGTTTTAGTGTAAACGTCTGCTGCTTTAGCAAAGGTAGTGTTTGCATCTAAATCTGATTTTGTAATAACTGCTTTATTTCCTGTAAGCTTGCCTAGCATTGCTTCTACATTCCCTGCAGTAACGTTGGTACCATCTACTTTAGCAAAGGTAGAATCTGCTTTTGTTTTAGTGTAAACGTCTGCTGTTTTAGCATAGTCATTCAATGAGGTTTTATCAGCTTTGTTATTCAGATCAGCTGCTTTAGCAAAGGTAGTGTTTGCATCTAAAACTGATTTCGTAATAACTACATCATCTCCTGTAAGCTTACCTAGCATTGCTTCTACATTCCCTGCAGTAACGTTGGTACCATCTACTTTAGCAAAGGTAGAATCTGCTTTTGTTTTAGTGTAAACGTCTGCTGTTTTAGCATAGTCATTCAATGAGGTTTTATCAGCTTTGTTATTCAGATCAGCTGCTTTAGCAAAGGTATTGTTTGCATCTGTTTTAGTGTAAACGTCTGCTGTTTTAGCATAGTCATTCAATGAGGTTTTATCAGCTTTGTTATTCAGATCAGCTGCTTTAGCAAAGGTATTGTTTGCATCTGTTTTAGTGTAAACGTCTGCTGCTTTAGCATAATCACTTAATGCACTTGTATAACTTTCTATCATTGTTTTAAAGCCTGTTACTTCGCTTGGATTATTACTACCGCTTGCCTTGTACTTGAAAGTGTTACTATCAAAATCCAAAATATATTCGTTATTTCCACCATCTGTGTAAACAATAAACTTGGCTGATTCTGCAGTTGCTTCTACTTTTTGTGGTGTCAAACTCTCATAAAATTTCAAACTTGCTGTCATAATTGCTCTCCTTTAAAAAATGTAATATACTAAAAAATCTATAATTTCTGTAAACATTATCTGTCTTTACTTGCAAAGTGAATAGTCATACCAACTTCAAACCCGTGTGTACCGAAAAACTTATTCTTTATAGTTGTAGTGGTGTTTGCTGAGTCTGTTGTCCAAGTTTTATTAGTCAGTTTTAAGTTTTTGAACTTTTCAAAATCACCACCAATAACACCAAAGTGTCTATATCCTATATGTATGTTTGTGTCTTCAGTGAATTGGTAACTAAGACCAGCCTTTAGTTGATATGCAGGTCTGATTGATGCTTTTTCAAACATCTTCATTCTTGTTACCCCACCCCCAACTCCAACATAAGGAGAAAAAGAGAATCGATTGCTTTTCCACTGACGATAAGCATTTACAAGAAGAGATGTATTTTCAATACTATCAGTATTTGTTGTGATTGCATAAAGATCGCTTTCAGCTTTATATGATATGGAGATTGGACCATCCATTAAGCCAATGTTATCAACTTTCACTTTAGAATGCATTAATTCCAACTCAGTTTTGTAGCTGCCCGATTTATGCGCATAACCTAGCAATATATTTGCTGCAAATGGAGGAGTATAGTTTGGTTTGTATTTATCTAGTGTTGTACCTTTTGTATTTTCAGCAGAACGGTCATTTATTGTAATATTTGTTATATTTTTACCTTGGGTAGAATGTGTTATACTTAATGGGCATATATGGCTGAAAAGCTGTTTATGGTATGCACCTCCTATGTAAAATCCTTCATTTGCAAATGATTGTTGTGACAACAGCAAAACGATTGCCGTTGCCGATAACGCTCTTATCATATATCCTCCTAATGAAAAAACTTACTTTACAAGGATGTGATTAAAAATAGGTAAAATTAACTTGGAGAATTAAGTTTTTATGTAGTTTTATTGTTATAGCTGCTCAATTACTCTACCACAGCTTTGTTCAATGACACTTGCTACATTTAAAATCCCTGCTTCATCGTAATAATTGCCTATTACTTGTAAAGCAAGAGGCAGACCTTCATTGGAAAGTGCAACGGGCACGGAAATAGCAGGTAATCCAGCTAGGCTTGCTGGTACAGTGAATACATCATTGATGCACATAATTAATGGATCTGGCTTTTCGTTTAACCCAAATGCTTCTGTTGGAGAGGATGGCACAAGTATGTAATCTATGTTTTCAAATGCTTTTATGAAATCGTTGCGGATTAACGCCCTGACGCATTGAGCCTTTTCATAGTATTCATTATAGTGACCTGAAGAAAGCGCGTAAGCACCCATTAGGATTCTTCTTTTCACTTCTTTACCAAAACCTTCTGCTCTTTTTAGTTCATACATTTCATCAAGTGTATCAGCTTCAATGTGCAATCCATAACGCACTCCATCGTAACGTGCAAGGTTAGACGAAGTTTCAGCAGAGCAGATTAAATAGTAAACTGGTATTGCATATTTTGTATGTGGCAAGCTGATATCGACAACTTCAGCACCATTTTCCCTGAGGTAAGTGGCAACTTTTTCCCAATGATGAATAATTTCATCTGAAATTCCATCCATATTATATTCTCTTGGAATACCTATTCGTTTACCTTTGATGTTGTTGTCTATCAGATTAAAAAATTTAGGAACTGGTTGATCGCTAGATGTTGAATCTTTTTTGTCGTATCCGCATATAGCTTCTAGCATTAGTGCTGAGTCAGCAACTGAACGAGTAATTACCCCCGCTTGGTCCAAAGAGCTTGCAAATGCGATCATACCAAAACGTGAACATCTTCCATAAGTTGGTTTCACACCCACTACTCCACAGTAAGCTGCGGGTTGACGTACGGACCCACCAGTGTCGCTTCCTAATGCACCAGCGCATAAGAATCCTGCTACTGCTGCTGCAGAACCTCCAGATGAGCCGCCAGGCACAACTTTTTCTCCATCACTTTTTCTAATCCAAACATTTTCAACGGGACCAAAGTAACTGTTTGTATTTGCAGAGCCCATAGCAAATTCATCCATATTGAGTTTACCAAGCATAGCCACTCCATTGTGTAAAAGCTTGTCAGATACTGTAGATTCATAAGTTGGAATAAAATTTTCTAACATCTTTGAAGCTGCTGTGGTTCTAATCCCTTTTGTGCAGAACAAATCTTTCACACCTACTGGTATTCCTGTTAATGGTGAATTTTCTTGCTTAGAGAGGTTTACATCTGCAGCTTTTGCAGCTTCTATTGCTATTTCCGGGGTTTTTGTGATAAATGCATTTAATTTTTCATTTTCAGCAGCATCGATGTGAGCTTTTACAAGTTCAACAGAAGAAAAATCTCTTCTCTTCAGGCCATCATGCATCTGTACAATACTCAATTTCCTCAGTTCGTTCATCAATATCTCGTTTCTAAAGACCTTAATTATAATAGTAACTAGATAAAAAATCTATATATTTGTGGCAATATAGCTTAGATCCATGAGTATAAAGGAGTTTATCGCAAGATATAACCAATGATTTTGATAAGCAATGTCACACCATTTTTTATCTTTGTTTTACTGGTATTGTTGGCCATAATACGTAACTTTTTGCAATCACTCAACAGGTCAATTAGTAACTCTGTAAGTTTTTTTTTAGCTTCACTATTTTGTTCAATTATTTCTGCTGCACATGCATTTTTAATATACATTGCATTATGAAACTGATGGTTATCTTTTGCGTGAGGGTATGGAATGTATATAGCGGGACGCCTAGCAAGAGTAATCTCCGCAATTGAAGTTGCTCCTGCTCTGCTGATAACTACATGTGAATTAGCTAATTTTTTTTCTAAATCATTAAAGAATGGACTGAGTGTATAGTTGATGTTGTAACTTTTATATAGATTTTCGACTCTACTTATGTTTTTTTCCTTGCACTGTTGTGTTACAATGATTTTCTTTTTTATTTCTTCAGGTAGGTCGCAGATTATATTGCTGACTACATCGTCAAAAAAGTCTGCACCTTGGCTGCCTGCTATGATGAGTATATTCAAATTGTTCTTAGCACTGGGGTAGTTATGTATTTCTGATGTCTCAATGAAGTTTCCAGTGAAAATACATTTTTTACCTTCAGCATATTTAGTGTTTTTAAAACTGGTGGCGACTAATAGTGCACTCTTGAAAAAAAATCTATTCACTTCTCCTAAGATTATGTTTTGTTCGTGCAGAATGATAGGTATGGAAAGGATTTTTGCTGCAAAAAGAGTTGGAAAAGATGCATAACTGCCAAAACCAATAACTAATCTAGGTCGTAGTTTTACCATCTGATAAAGTGCTAACATACAACTATAAAGCAAAGAGAAAAGAAATTTTAATTTGCTTCCACTTGGTCTACATAGTGGCAATACATAACTCTCTATCTCATTTATTTGTTTATTGGTGAACAATATACATTTGTACCCCTCAGCTTTTAATGTTTTTGCTAAGGTTAAAGCTGGAAAAATGTGTCCACCTGTTCCACCTGTTGCTAAGATAATGTCCATGAAATATGTAATAGCCAGTACTTATTATTGATAATCATCTGATGATTTGCACGTATAATTTTATTAGCTCAAAGAAGTCTAAAATTGCATTGTTGAAGTAAAGATTATAATAATTAATCGTAATATACATTTTTATCTAGTGAATACTGTCATTGTAAAAAAATTTGGTGGAACGTCTCTGACTAATTTAAGCCGGGTTGCACATCTAATAAAAAATGACGTTGAGAAAGGGCATAAGGTAGTAGTGGTTGTATCTGCAGTGGCAGGCTTTACTGATCAAATGATTGCTCAGGCTCAAAGAGTTTCAAACTTAAACAGCCAGCAAGAGTTATCAGAGTACGACGTTTTACTATCTGCAGGTGAACAAATATCCTGTGGTTTGTTAGCAGTTGCACTTCAATCCATAGGTGTTAACGCTAAATCATGGCTTGCGTGGCAATTGCCTGTTGTGACTAATAATTTTTTTTCTCAGTCGAAAATAAAGGAAATAAATATTGATCATCTACAAAAGTCATTTTCTGAAGGCTACACTGTTGCAGTAATTGCTGGCTTTCAAGGTATCTATAATAATAGACTGACTACGTTTGGCAGAGGAGGCTCTGATATATCTGCGGTTGCTTTAGCGGTAGCTTTTAATGTGAGAAAATGCGAAATCTTCACTGATATCGACGGGATATATACGGCTGACCCTAAGGTTGTTACCAAAGCACGTAAACTAAAATTTGTTTCTTATGATGAAATGTTGGAAATGTCGTTATCTGGTGCTAAAATCTTACATAATCGTTCAGTTCAATTGGCAATGAAGAATAACATACAATTGCAAGTATTTTCTACTTTTAAAGAAGCAGAAGGCACTACTGTGCTATCTTCTAAAGATGCGTTGGAAAAACATTTAATTACCGGAANCATTTAATTACCGGAATAACGTGTAGCACTAATGAAGCACTGATAACTCTTTCTGATGTTAATATTCATGTTTTAAAGAATATAGTAGATGCAAATATAAAAATTGATATGATACACGGAGCAAATTTTGTAATTGCCAAATATGATATTAGTCGAATAAAAGATCTATTGGATGAAAATATTAATTATACTATAAATAACAATGTCGCTAAAGTTTCAATAATCGGTATTGGGGTTACTTCTAATGTTGATGTTGTGCGTTGTATACTCAATGTTTTGGAGAAAAAAAAGATAGAAATGCTTGCTATTTCCATGTCAGAACTCAGGATTAGCGTGGTCGTTGATGCAGAATATGCAGAAATTCTAACTAAGGACTTACACACTGAATATGGACTTGACCTTTTTTGAAACTCGATTTCTGAAGCTTTTATCAAATACATCCTGCAGTGTACTTCTTCTAAGAATTTTTCATAACAGGTTTTGAAGGGGGTATAATGTAATTGTTTGCAAAAGTGTTTTGTGCCTATACAATAGAATTATTACAAGTAAAGTAAAAGCTTTGAGTAAAGTTCTTGCAGTAGTTAATCAAAAGGGAGGAGTAGGTAAAACTACAACTAGTGTAAATTTAGCAACGGCTTTTGCTGCAGTTAATAAAAACACTTTGTTGATAGATCTCGATCCTCAAGGAAATGCCAGCACTGGCCTTGGCTTTTCGTATAAAAGCCGTGCAAAAAATATATATAATGTGCTAGTAAATAATGAGCCTATATTATCTACTGTGCTTAATACAGAGGTGCCTAATTTATCATTGATTGCTTCAACAGTTGATTTATCTGCTGCGGAAGTTGAGCTCATACAATTCGAGCGAAGGGAGTTTGTCCTCAAGGATGCGCTAATGAAGATTAGGGAGAGTTATGAATATATAATTATTGACTGCCCTCCTTCTCTTGGTCTACTTACTATCAATGCGCTTACTGCCTCTGATTCAATAATTATTCCTCTTCAGTGTGAATTTTTTGCCTTAGAAGGCTTAAGTCACCTAATAAAAACTGTAGAACTAATAAAAAAATATTTAAATCCTTCTCTACAAATAGAAGGAATAGTGTTAACAATGTACGATAGGCGTAATAAGCTTAGTGAGCAGGTCAAAATTGAAATTTGTAATCATCTCAGTGATAAAGTATATGAGACTATTATTCCACGTAATGTAAGATTATCGGAAGCTCCTTCTTACGGAAAACCGGCAATTATATATGATCTGAAATGCTCGGGTGCACAGGCATATGTATATTTAGCAAAAGAAATTTTAGAAAAGCAAAATAGTAGTTGTGAGGTTGTGTTAGCAAGTGAAAGTGTGGCATGAAAAATAATCAAAGGCTAGGGCAGGGCCTATCTGGGCTAATAGCAGGTCATTCCCTTGATACATCAGATGATCAACAGCAGGAATCTTTACCTGTTTCATTGTTGCATCCCAGTAAGTTTCAGCCCAGAAAATATTTTGATGAGGAATCACTAAAGGAGCTTGCGAACTCAATAGAGAAAAGTGGCATTATACAACCTGTTGTAGTGCGTAAAGATCCAAACGAAGGTGGTTATGAAATAATAGCTGGGGAACGCCGCTGGCGAGCTAGCAAGATTGCAAAACTTAGTAATATTCCTGTTATTATTAAGGATTTAAATGATAAGGAGTGTCTAGAGATATCTATAATTGAAAACGTGCAAAGGCAGGATATTAATCCAATAGAAGAAGGGGATGCGTATAAAAAGCTAATAGATGAATTTTCTTATACACATGAAGAATTATCTACAGTTATAGGTAAAAGCCGCAGCTACATAACTAACATGATCAGAATGCTGCTGCTTCCTGATAGTGTGAAATTGATGATAAGTGAAAAGAAATTATCTATGGGGCATGCAAGAGCACTAATCAATGTTGAAAATGCAGAGGAGATTGCAGAAAAAATAGCTTCTCGTGGTTTGAGTGTTAGGCAAACTGAAAAATTAATAAGAGATTTGCACAATACACAAGAAAAGCAACAACAGCATAAAAATCAAGATATAACTGCAATAGAGAGTACTATATCTTTACAGTTAGGCTTGAGTGTGAAGATCAGCGACAATAATTCTCAAGGTGTAGTTACTATAAAATATAACAGCCTTGCAGAACTGGAAATGATAGTAAAGGCCTTAACAAGTTAGATTTTTTTATTCCCACTCGATGGTTGCAGGTGGTTTTGAAGTTATGTCATATACAACTCTACTTACTCCAGCTACATTGTTGATAATTATATTGCTGACGTTCTGTAAAAAATCCCAAAAGACTAAGGAATATTTGTTTTTATCTTCAAATGGAAATGCATCAGCCGTCATACCGTCAGAAGATGTTACGGCTCTCAAAGCACAGACGTATTTATATGTTCTCTTATCACCCATTACACCTACAGTTTTTATAGGTAACAGCACAGCAAAAGCCTGCCATATTTTATTATACAAATTATAACTCTTCATTGTGTTGATATATATTTCATCAACTTCTTGTAGTATACGCACCTTTTCCTCTGTCACCTCACCAATAATACGCACAGCAAGGCCAGGACCAGGGAAAGGATGTTGAAATATTACTTCATCTGCTAACCCCATTTCTTTTCCAAGAGACCTCACCTCATCTTTGAATAAATAGTGAAGAGGCTCTATCAATTTGAGTTGCATCTTTTCCGGCAATCCACCAACATTATGATGGGATTTAATTGTACTGGCATTATCCGATGCATGTCCAGATTCGATGACGTCAGAATAGATAGTACCCTGCATTAAAAACTCTATATTACCTATTTTTTTTGCTTCTTCCTCGAATACTTCAATGAAAGTATTACCTATAATTTTACGTTTTTGTTCTGGGTCGGTTACACCTTTAAGTCTGCCTAAAAATAAATCTGATCTATCAATACAATTGATTGGAAAATCTNTTGCTGAGCAGTCCAGTATCAATGAAAATACAATGTAATTGTTGTCCTACAGCTTGGTAGGTTAATGCTGTTGCAACGCTTGAATCAACGCCACCACTGACTGCAGCAATAATTTTTTTATTTCCTACTATACTTTTAATTTTTTCCTTTTGCTCATCAATGAAAGATTTCATTGTCCAATTTCTATCACACTCAGCGATATCAAGAAAATTAGAAAGTAGATTATGTCCATCTTCCGTATGTTTTACCTCGGGGTGAAATTGAGTGCAATATATCTTACGTTTTTCATTTGCGATGATTGCTATCGTTTGGTTCACTACTCCAGACGCAATAACAGTGAATCCTTCTGGAATGCTATCAACGCTATCTGAATGATTCATCAGTACATCTACTGTTGAGTCAACATTCCATACGCCTTTTATAATTGGAGATTCTTCTAATATCTTTACTTTGGTTTTACCAAATTCTTGTTTAAAGTTTTCTCTAACTATGGCTCCAAAATAGTGACAAATCAGTTGCTGCCCGTAGCATATTCCAAGTATTGGCACGCCGGCTGTTTCATTCAGTTGTATAATTTCATTTACTAGGCAGTTTTTTGAGGAATCACCGTTATTGACTGATTCAGGACCGCCAGAGAAAATAAAACCGTTGAATCTAGATATGGATTCAGAGCTTGCATGACTTGATAATATTTCACAATATACGTTCATTTCTCTAACTTGCTTGGCAATCAATTGCGTGAACTGCGAACCAAAATCAATAATAGCGATTTGTGACAATTTTTTTTTCATCTGATTTTAAGAGTATATATTAATAATAAGAAAAATAATAAATAAGTAAATAAACTCTGGGTTAAATATCTTTTTCTTTTCTGTTGTTGTCAGTTTCTTCATCGTCAATCTCTTCCTCATCATCGTCATCAATATCTTCATCTTCAGCTTCCTCTTCTTGATCAAGTTCATCTTCGTCATCAAATTCATCATCATCATCATCATAATCATGTTCTAGCAAGTCTTGATCTTTATGGATAGGATTGGATTCTTCTATGATATCATTATCTTCATTGTTGATTTCACCGGTGTCCTTATTAGTAGCAGAAGAAACTTTACTTGGATCATAAGGATCTTGCGTAGGTACCTGTGTTGGCTTTAGCAATTTTCTAGTAAAAGTGCTATCATTATAGTACAGGATCTTCCTCGACTTTATCGGGTAAGTGGATTCTATCAAAATTATTTGCTCATCGCGTGGTAACATAATGACTTCCTGAGGCAGTAATAACGCCCGTTGTGCTTCAGAAAGGTGTAATGACCTTGATGCTGGATTAAGGTCCAGGAATTTTGGTCTATTTAAAGATGACTGCTCCACAGTTTTATTTCCTATTAGCTGTGATATCAAATTAGCTGTCTCTATGTTATTAGCTGCAAAGGTTATTCTGTAAGTTGAATTTGATAAGAATGAGTTCATTCCTGCTTCTTCATATATTCCTTTTAACTGCTCAGTATCTTGAACAATTAAAAACAGCCTTACTTTATAACCACGAAAATATGCTATACCGGTCTGAAATTGCTCCATTTTTCCGAGTGTAGGAAACTCGTCCATTAAAAACAATACGCCATAAGGTTCATCATCTGACGGCAAGGTGCGACATAAAAATTCAGTAGCCTGTTGATAAAACACCTGCATTAAAGGCCTTAATCTTGTGAGGTTATCAGGAGTCAATCCAACGTATACTGTCACCCTTTCTCTTTTAAAATTCATGATATTGAAATCACTTGTTGCAGTTGCTGTGTCGATCAGTGGGTTTGCCCATAATTCAAGAGATGAGTTCATTGTTGATACAACCCCTGACCTTTCTTTATCAGCTTTCTGTAGAAAGGCAGCAATATTCATATATGCTACAGGGTGTAGCGTTTTACCCATTGTATCTAAAACTACAGCTAAGTTGTAAACCACGTCATCACTACGCATGGTGCGTACCACTTCACCGAAAGATTTAATCTTTTCTGGGGCAGCAATTAAATATAGTACCACACCAACAAATAAGCTTCTTGCTTCGTTCTGCCAAAAGTCTTGTTCAGGCATGATGAGGTTAGCGATTTTTTGCACATCATCAACCATTTGTCCGGGCTTACTGCTAATCCATTGCAATGGATTATAACAGTGACTTACTCCATCTGGTTGCGCTGGATTCCATACAAAAACTTTTTGTCCCTGACGTGCTCTCCAACCACTTGTGATTTCATAGTTTTCTAATTTGATGTCATGTACAATGGTTGAATCAGACCAAAATAATAAATTAGGAATTACAAAACCAACACCTTTACCAGAACCTGTAGGTGCAAACAATAATGCATGCTGGTATCCATCAGCAATAAAATAACCTCTTTTATCTTTACCTAAGAGCAACCCTTTCTTGCTTCTTAATCCTGCCTTGCGTATATCCTTTTCTGATGCCCATCTTGAATCTCCGTGGAGTGACTCCTTTTTTTTGAATGGCTTCCAATCAATTATTCTTTCTCTGACATTCCATAATATAATAATTAGAATGGAAATAGGTAATGCAGCTGAGATAATCAACTTTAACTTTAAGTTATGAGTAGCATACCTTTCTGGGTAATACCAGCAGTTTTTGATATGATCAAAAATCGTTGGCCATAAATGTTGTGGAAAATCTCTTATGCTAGGGTCGATATTTTTAAAGTCTACTGCATTAGGACCATCAACTAATAAAAAGAATAGCAGGCCAGATAAATAAAAGCAAAACTCTAGTGCACTAAAAACTACTACGCCACCTATAAGAATGTTGCGTAAATGATTTCCATTATAGCTCATAACTATTCTTTCCTACCACTAATAAGTTTAAACATTTTTATTTGAAGATCTACTAAACAATATCTCAGAAATATTTCTTTTACCTCCGCTAGTTCTTTTGAGTTGAATTATGATGTCAATAACATTGCGAATATATGGAATAATTTGATCAGGAGGGATACCCAAATTCGCCTGCATAACCATCAATTTTAGTTGCTCAAGAGCCATTGTTGGACTATCTGCATGTAAAGTAGAGATTGAGCCAGGGTGACCAGTATTGATTGCTCTCAAAAAGCTAAATGCTTCTGCTCCACGCAGTTCACCTACTATGATTCTATCTGGTCTTAGCCGTAAGCATGCCTCTATTAAATCCTGTGTTGTTACTTTTGCTCTTCCTTGTCCTCCTTTGGAAGCAATTAAATGGACTCTGTTAGGGTGTTCATTTAAAACAATTTCTCTTGCATCTTCAACAGTAATAATTCTCTCCTGGCTGGGAATAGCACGCAAAGCAGCATTAGTGAATGTAGTTTTTCCGGTAGATGTTCCACCACTGATAACTATGTTTTTTTTGTTTACTACTGCATATTCTAAAAATTCTTTTATTTTTCTTTGTTTCAGTAACAAATCCAACTCGTGATCAATCTGGTTATCAGCTGCTTCTGTTATGGTATTAGAAAATGCGCCCATCTTTTCATAATCATTAAGAGTTAACTGTATAGTAGATGGCTTACGAATAGACATGACAACTTTATCGGATTCACACGCTGGTGGAAACACTACTTGTATACGGTATCCGTTAGGCAGTGTTGCTGAAAGCAAAGGTGTTTCTTCACTAATCCTTTGGTCAGTGGCCTGAGCAATTAATCTACACAGGGACTTTAAGTGACTAAGATCAAATACTTCTACATGTTCGCACCTTATTTCGCCTCTATTTTCAATCCATACTTCTTTAGGTCTATTAATTGATATTTCATTTACACCTTCTTCTTGGAATATATTTTGTAAAGGCTCTAAATATGTACCGAGTGCAGCATGATTCATCTTATTCTGCTATATGTCCTAAAGGAAATATTATATCTTGATTAACAAACACTTTCAGTGCAGTACCTTGATCGACATAAACAGTTGGCTTTTTATCTATGACTCTCTCAACTATATCTTTCATATCTTTAGAAAAATCATTAATAGATTTCTCAACAGAGTTTTCATAGACAGATTTATCTCCCTGTTGTTTCATGAGTTGTTTTATGTTATCTAAAGTTATATTGCTACTATTGAACCCTAGACTTTTCAATTTAGCTTTGAATCTTTGCAGTAAATCCTTCTCGCTTGTTGCTTGCTTAAGATATGATATAGCTTCAAGATCTAGTTTCCACTTGTCATTTTTGTCGGCTTCTGTGCTTGATGGTTCACCAATGATTT